CTGAGAGGGTTAAACCTGGGACTGACCCCACCAACACAGTACTGAGACGGTTAAACCTGGGACTGACCCCACCATCTCAATACTGAGAGGGTTAAACCTGGACTGAGCACACTATCCTACATGCGTTAACATGGGACTGACCAAACCATCCCCTACTGAGAGGCTTAAATCTGGAACTGACCACACCACACTTACAAAGCAAATCAAACCCCAACCTGGAACTGACCACCATCACCCCCAAACTCCAGAGGGTTACACCATGGTCTGATAACATCAACCCCACAGAGGGTTAAACTTTATTCCAGGACTGACCACACAACCCTGCTTCCCACTGAGAGGGTTAAACCCTGGAACTTACCATACAGTCACCGGTAAGAGGTTTAAACCCAGCCTACAGCCACCTCCCAACACCAAACCTGGTTATCCCTCAGGATTGACTACACTATGCCCACTAAGTGGGTTAAAGTGACCCCCTCCACACGCCCAATCTGAGACTGATCACACAACACCCACAGAGCAGGTCAAAAACTACGAATGAGCACAAAACACTGAACCGTTTAAAATCCAGGACTGATTATAACACAGACTGAGCAGATTAAAACTCCACAACACACATTGAGAGGGTAAAACCCTTACAGCCTGGGATTGACACTGAGCAGGTTAACCATCTCTGCCAACATGTACCCCTCCCCACCAAAAACTGGGACACTTATTGATTATCCAGGCTGGAATGAACAGTTTCGCTTCAAGTTTCTTTCCTATTTCCTCTCACCCAGATAAACTGAAAGGAAGCGTTATCAAGTTGGTGGATTGCACAAAAGTAAAAATGTAATCATGCATTGGCCACACTGTGTTAACTTTCCTGCAACATTCCTGAGTTAATATAATCACTGTTTATTGTGATACTGGAGTGTTGGGGTTGTTTTGTACTCTATTGATAATCTGTGACTTCTCTTGTTACTTTTCCGCAAACCACCCCCTCTTTCCCCCCACCCCAACCCTCCCTCTTTTTAAATTGCTTGGGTAGATCAAACCCTTGCTTTAACTGAGAATGAAATAACTTCGCTTCAGAAGGGGAACATTTCTCAGTTGTAACAGTTCCTTCAAAATGAAGGGCAAAGTTTAATAGTAGAAGGGGTTAGTTAGGCTGATCTGAAGAAAGCAAGAAGTCAAGTTAAAGACAGTTGTGGTGATGGACAATGCACACTGGGTTAGAGTGATTCAGTCAGGAGCATTCTGAAGTGCATTATTTGCCAACTAAAACGTACAAATAGCTGGAGAAAATAGCACCTGCTGATTTTAGTTTTTAAGTTCAGCTTCAAGCCCGTATTGGTTTTGGTTGGTTTCCAGTGTTGATGATACATGTTCCCATGACACATTGAAACAGAGTTTGAAGGTATTCATATTTCTTGCACATCTTTATTGAGATTGAATTGAATATTTTTATAATGATATTTTTGAATTTATTGTGCATTAAGTTATGCACTATAGTTGATATTTTTTGCCTGCCTTACTGTTGATGTGTGTGACATGTCAAAGTTTTGCAAGGTTCTAAAGATCAACAGAATGCACCGACTATGTATTGATAGTGTCTAAATAAGCACTTGTGTACATTGTGAAACCATGTAATAAAATGTTGGATTATGTGATTTTCCACGTGACAAGCATTATGCAGTATTCATGCAAACATAGGGAAATTTTCCTCAAAACTCTTATCTCTCTATTCCACTCCTTTGCCTCATTTCCCTCCCACAACCCATTAGGAAAGTTTTACAGTGCATATAATTCTGCTGTAGCACTCTGTCTCTAAATTTATGTAGCTGTTTTCGCAACATCTGGACATTCCGAGGTGTTTAATAGCTGATTTAAATAGTGTGGGGAGGTGAAGGCCTAGTGGTATTATCGCTGGACTGTTAATCCAGAGACCTTGATAATGTTGTGGGGACCTGGGTTCAAATCCCACCATGGCAGAGGGTGGAATTTCAATTCAATAAGTCTTTGGAATTAAGAATCTGATGATGACTGTGAATCTGTTGACAATTGTCAGGAAAAACCCAGCTGGTTCACAGATGTCGTTTAGGGAAGGAAACTGCCATCCTTAACTGGTCTGGATTACATGTGACTCCAGACCCACAGCAATGTGGTTGACTCCAAACTGCCCTCTGGGTAATTACGGACCAGCAGTAAATGCTGCCTAGCCAGTGATACCCTCATCCTGTGAATGAACAAAAAAGTCTTATGTATACTTACATATGAAATAATTACAGTTATTGTTATAATGTAGGACACACAGCAGTCAATTTGTAAACAGCAAGCTCTCACAGATAGCAAAGTGATAACTAGTAAGACTGTTTTCTTTTTTGTGATATTGATTGAGGGATAAATATTGCCCAGCTCACTAGGGAGAATTCTCTGTTCTTCTTTGAAGTAGTGCCACATGATTGTTTTGCATCTACTTGAGAAGGCAGATGGGGCCTTGTTTAAACATTTCATCTGAAAGACACAGCCTCCAAGAGTCAACACCCTGCCCAGGAACTGCCGTGGTTTATAACCTTAGTTTATTTTGTGTTTGAGTCCTGCCTTGGGACTTCAACCATAGTAGTTTTACAGCCTAGAAAGAGGCCATTTGGCACATTATGTTTGCGCCTGCTGAAAAATGAGCCTTCCATGCTCCTACATTTGGTATGTCGTCCTGCAGTTTATTGCATTTGAGGTGCATATCCAGACATCCCATAATTGGAAAAAGGTATCCAGACCACTAACACACTCTAGGTGAATAAAACTTTCTTCATCTCCTCACTAATCTTACTACCATTCACTTTAAATCTATGCATCCTAGTCACTGACCCTCTGCTAATGTAGGTTGGCCCTTCCTAGTCACTCTATCCATGCCTATTGAGCCCCCGACCTTCTAATTAAGAAGCAAGTGAATTTTCTCTTGATTAAAATGCTAAACATCACTTGCTCAGGTCGATAAATAATCAGAAGAACATACCTATTCCGCTTGGGAACCCTGCAGCCCAATGGTATCAATGTGGATTTCACAAGCTTCAAAATCTCCCCTCCCCCTACCGCATCCCAAAACCAGTCCAGCTCGTCCCCGTCTCCCTAACCTGTTCTTCCTCCCACCTATCCCCTCCTCCCACCTCAAGCCGCACCCCCATCTCCTACCGACTAACCTCATCCCGCCCCATTGACCTGTCCGTGCTCCCTGGTCTGACCTATCCCCTCCCTAACTCCCCACCTACACTCACCTTTACTGGCTCCATCCCCGCCTCTTCGACCTGTTTGTTTCCTCTCCACCTATCCTCTCCTCTATCCATCTTCTATCCGCCTCCCACTCTCTCCCTATTTATTTCAGAGCCCCCTTCCCGTCCCCCTTTTCTGATGAAGGGTCTAGGCCCGAAACGTCAGCCTTTCTGCTCCTATGATGCTGCTAGGCCTGCTGTGTTCATCCAGCCCTGCACCTTGTTGTCTAGAAGAACATACCCATTCCTGTAGCAGATCGGGTGAATTTACCAAATAAGTAGCCAAACCACACAGATCTGGAAGATCCCAAGTTTATACTGTAGTTTATGGTGAGTTAGCGGATCTCTGACAGGGAGGTGCCTTTGAATAAATTTTCCAGAATTCCTACTGCTATTCTTAGTAGAATTGAATGGTTACAGCACAGAGGAAGTCATTGGCCCAGTGTGTCCTTGGTGGCTCTTTGCAAGTGCCATATAACAAGTCTCACTCCCCAGTCTTTTCCCCTGGTCCTGCAAATATTACTCATTATGGGCTGGTCCAACTGACTTTTGAAAGCCACTTTTAAAGCTCACAACCAATGCACTCCAGATCGTCACTGCGTAAAACCCCTTTTCCCTTCTTGGTTCTTTTGCTGATCATTTTAGATCAATATGCTCTTGTTCTTGACCATTCCACAAATGGGAACAGTTGCTGTCTGTCTACTGTCTAGATTTCTCATAATTTTAACCATCTCTATCAAATCTACTGTGGACCTTCTGTTTAAGGAGAACATTCTATGTAACTGAAATGCTGGTGTAGCAATTGGGTAAATATACCTATGGCTTAGTAAATTGTTGAAATTTTTTGTTTGGTGTCATGTATAGAGTTAGCCTTGGATAAGGCCATCTAGTCCAACAAGTGTAGCAATCCAGTCAGTTCTGTTTTCTAGCTCAATCTCCCTAGTCGTTCAGGTTTACTTCTCTCAGCTGCTCATCAAATTTCTATTAGGCCCCACCCCTACCGCTCTCATAGGCAGATCATCACCGCTCACTGCTTTTAAAAAAATTCTCAGATCCCCTTCCTGGATTACTCACCAAACTTTAAATCTGTGTCCCATACTTCCTGTACCATCAGCTAATGGGAACAGCTTTACGTTTTCTATTTTATCAAAACCTGTCATAAATTGTAGAACCCCTATAAAATTTGTCTTCCATGTCTTTTCAGGCATTACAACCGTTTGGATAAGGTATCAAAAATCAGGGAGAAAATAAGTTCAAAAGAGAGATTGGAAGAAATATTTTTAATTTCTTTTTCTAAAATAAAGATGTGGCCAGACATAGTGAGAATTTTTTTTCATTTAGAATAGTTCTTGATGGATATATTGATGATTAAAGTGCAGTCAAGAAATTCCATTATGAGCTGAAAAGGGGAAGGCACCTGTAAACAAGTGTGAGGCAGCTGAATGACTGTCTCCATGTAGCTTTTCTATTAGATAATGAAGTCATTTTGTTAGGTATAACTCCACTCCATTTCTGGAGAATCAGACCTGTTTGTATTGAAAAGTATTTATTCTGCAGCCACCTGACTACATTTAAAACAATGGTGTATGTTCAGAACTTTTCAAACAAAAGGAAGACTTGTATTTATTCAGCATTTTTTCACAATCTGAGGAGACAGTATAGTAAATTTAATTGCTTCAGAGACAGTAGGAACTGCAGATGCTGGAGAATCTGAGATAACAAGGTGTTGTCTTGTAGGAAACATGGCATCCAGTTGACACCCAGCAAGCTTCCACAAATAATAATGTGATAATGACCGGCTAATCTGTTTTAGGGAATGTTTCTTAGGGGATAAGAATTGACCAGGATTCCATGGAGAACTGCTCTGCTCTTCATGTAGTGCCACAGGACCTTTTAAATCTACCTCAGAGGGCAAACAGGACCTTGGTTTCATGCCTCATTCAAAAAACAGCACCTCAGACAGTGCAGCAGTCCGTTAATGTGCCACTGATTTGTCAGACTGTGTTGTATTCTTCAGTCTCTGGAGTAGGACTTCATCCTACAATTTTTTGAGTCGTGGTGAGAATACTACTAAGTGAACCATGGCTTATTCCAACCTACAGAGTACTTTTTTTCTGACTGAGCTAGTGATTGTGAAACCAAATATACTGGACTATATGGATGCAGACTGGAGAACAGTGGCTGCTCAAACTGTCATTTTTACCTGCTTCATGCAAGCTGCTTTGTATTTACACTGTTATAGAGCTGCGACTGTAATTGAATGAACAGATCAAAACCATCTACTTTGATGTCTCTCACGGCCTCTGGCACCAAAAGAACCAGTTTGTTTATATTCACAGTCTACCGCTGACTTTGCAGATATTGTCAGTTGCAAATTGCAGATATAAATGGGCTATCATGCTGCAGGGAACTCTCTCAGCTGCAGTCTCCCTTTGTTGTGGATTCAAAGTTGGACATGATCAGCAATGATTTAAGACTTGTGTCTCAAAGTGCCAATGGACACTTCTGATTCAGTCTGGATGAACTTTGTGATTCATAACACCACTCAGTGTGATAAAGAATTCTGCAAACCACACTCTGCCACATCAAAATGAGCACCACTGAGGCAGGAGCAACAGCGACAGTTTCTCAAATTAGCACAGGGATTGTCCAATGTGGTTGCTGAGAGCTAATTATCCACAACAAGTGAGTGAATGGTCAATCAAACCTGCTTGATGTTTGTTTTGTAAGCCTGAAGTAAGTTCTTACCTTCTGAAGGAATGCAAATAAATAGTGTTAAGTCTGGTGCAATATGTTGGGAAACAGAACAGAAGTGGTCTGAGCACATTCTCTCTCTAAAAGAATCCCTTTTACATCATGGTGTTAATTTCAGGGAGTACAATGCATATTCATCCAAAAATGGCTTGAGCATATACCAAGTAAATTATAGGACCACAGGATTTAAGTATTCGACAAACAAGGGCCATTTATTAAATCAGCAATCTGTTCCTTAATATTATTTTCTAATTAACAGGCATTAACACCTTAATAAACATTGTTAAATAATCCTAGGCAACTTTCGGACAGTGTCTTGATCCCAGCTAAAGCTGTTTCAATTAATGAGATTCAACTGACTGGTAAACTTGGTTATTTCCTAAAATACAGATAGATTAAATGTAGGAGGCATAGTGCTTATGGTACTGGATTAGTAATTCAGAAGTCCAGGTCAATCCCTTGGGGACATTGGTTAAATTCCACCACAAAAGCTAGTGAAATTTAAATTCAATTCATAAATCTGGAATTGAAAATTAATCTCGGTAATGGTTACCATGAAATTACTATTAATTGTTGTAAAAACCTATTTAGTTTACTAATGTTCGTTTGGAAATGGCAACTGACCTACTTGTTGCTTCAGATCCACT